GGGGCAGGGGTGGGGGCGGGGGCCCAGGGGTGGGACTTGTGGGTCATTGTATAAGTCAGCGCCTCCTTGTTTGCCGTGAGAACAAGGCCCCAAACAAGGACCAGCCACGGCCCCTCCTACCCGCGCCCTCCTCAACTCCTGGGGACCATGGTGCTGGAACATTCCAGCTGCAGTGCTCCTCGGGGGCGAGCCTGCCTGCACAGTGGGCTCCCCCACCTGGAGCTGCTGGGGGAAGGGGCTAGGCAGCGATGCTCACGCTGTCCTACCTGATTGCCCGCTGTGCTGGCACAATCCGGTGGGCCTCCAGGCGGCCCCTTCAGGTAATGGGCTGGGGCTGGGGTCAGACCCCGTGGGGGTGGGTGGGCATCTGTGCCCTCTGCAGAAGCTCACGCCGCTTGGGTTACAGGGCCCCGGGGTGGTTCTGACGGGCCCTGGGAGGGGGAGTTGCCATAGGCGCCAGCCTCCTTGCCCCTGCCCCAGTGGTTCTGCCCTCTCTGGGTACAGACCAGGGCCAGCCCCTAGGGACACAGCCGAGGGCTCCCGTCCTCCCTCTTGAAGCTGAGAAAATCATGGAGAGGAGGGTCCCCAGGTCACACACCGCCAGGAGGGCGAGGAACCGCCTGGCCCCAGGCCTGCACCTGTCCCCACGGGCTCCGGGCCTCAGTTTCCCCGCACGGGCAGCAGGGTGGTCGGGTCAGAGGCTGTCGGATGAGTGCTGTTGTTGCCTCAGGCGGTGGTTTTACATCAGCCCCAGGGTTTCTCCAGGTTTGGCTTTCCTCAGGATTGCGCTTTGGACCTGGTGGGATGGTCTTCCCCAGACAGACAGGCGTGGCAGCTGCCAGGTGGGGCCCAGCCCTGTGCCAGGCTCTGAAGGGCCTGGGAGTGGACTCTGGCCTGCCGGGGTCAAGGTCCAGGGGCGGCCTGCCGGCAGATGGCTGTGGTAGGTGGCAGGGTGCTGGGCCTGCAGGTGGGCCCCCCACTCTGGGCACTCAGGAGTCTCCTTGTCTGGGAGGGGAAGAGGTGCTTAGTTGCTTGTCCCTGGGGCAGAGTGGGGAGGGCTGATGGAGCCCCTTTCCCCACTGCCCAGCCCCGATCCTGAGACAACTGCCCCGTGGCAGGTGGGGCCTGGGCAGGGGTCATGGTGGAGAGTAGCTGGGAGGAGTTGGGGCTGAGTGGGCGGGCGGGGGGCAGCTGGCCTCAGCCTCTTGGTCCCCTGCCTCCAGCTCTACCCTATCCCCTGCCAGTGCTGGGAGGGATGGGTGGGGGTGGGCTGAGGCCTGAAGGGAGAGGCGCTGCTACCCTGGGGCTCATGGCCCACCCTTGAGGCTCTGCATTTGGGGAGAAACCCCGCCCTCCACCCCACCCCCCCAAAAAACAAAACCTGCCAACATAAAACCAACACCGGCCCTCCTGGGGCCACTGGTGTCCCTGAGGGGAGAGGAGGTGGGTGAGGGGGCAGCTAGCAGGGCTGCCCGCTGAGGGGGTGGGGGCCCGATCCTGGGAAGAAAGGGGCCTTTCAGAGGCTGGCCTGCCTCTGTGCCACCCCCACGCCCCGCCCTGCCTTGTCCCCTGCCCCTCCCTGCCTCCGGCCGGAGCTCACCCTGTCACTCATGTCGCCCGCCTGGCCTAGGAGTTTGAGAATGCTGAAGGGGAAGAGTACCCCGACTTCTCGGCCCAGGGCTCCCCAGCGGCCACTGCGCAGAACGGGCCTGACGTGTACGTCCTGCCGCTCACCGAGGTCTCCCTGCCCATGGCCAAGCAGCCGGGGCGTTCAGGTGTGTGAGCCCCCGGGGGCCTGGTGGGAGTGTCGGGCGTGGGTCGGGGCTCAGCGGCCAGTGATGCCAGGGAAGGGGTGGTCAGGGGCTGCTATGCCCTTTCCTGCTGGGACCTGGGCGCTGCGAGCAGGCTTGGGGACAGCCCTCCGCCCTGCCCTGGGCTGCTGTGCAAGGGGCGGTGACAGGCACCCCTGCAGGGGTTGCCCACTCTGGTCCTGGGAGGGACCCCCCGTGTGCTGGGAGGAGGGGGTCCTCTGCTGTTCTCGGGATGCCTGACCTCATACTCCCCCCCACCTTGGCACTGGCTGGCCACTCAGGGACATCGGCTCCATTGTGCCCAGTGGGCAGGGTTCACCCACGTGGGGATGTGGGCGTCCTGTGAATGGACCTTTCAGCCAGGGCCCGGGGTGGGGGGCCGGTGCAGGTGCAGGCAGGGTCCTCTTCCTGTGGCTTCCTGGCCATGTCCCCCACTCATTCCCACCCCAGGGCCCGTCCACCAGGCTCACCGCCCACGCGGCAGACGCCCCAGCCCCGGCCCACTGCCCTCCTGTAGCTGAGCTCGAGAGCTTACAGGTCCGTGGCCAAGATCGGCTTTGAACCCACATCTGCCTGAAGCCAGTACTGCAGGAGCCCCAGGTTGTGCCTGGAGCCTGCCCCCAGGTCGCCTCCCTAAAAACTCCTCAGCAATGCCTGTGCCACCCCCAGCTCCTCCAGGGTCACTGAAGAAGGGGTGTCAGGCCCTGTAGGGGCTGTGCTGCCACCAAGGCCTGTTACCTGCTTCCATTCCAGGCCTGGCAGGGCCTGACCAGATGCTGCCACCCCAGAGCCCAGCCTTCCTCATGCGCTGGGGACCCCAGAGTAGATGTAGGGGGCCATCGGCCGCCAGCCCCAGGGCTCAGGGCTCCAGTTGTCACCACCCTCCAACCCCCTGCTAGCGTCTCCATACCACCAGTTGGGGAAGAACTAGAGCTGGGGTCAAAGGCATGTGCACATCTGTCGACGGGCTCAAAGGAACAGCCCATAAAACCCTGAAGGCAGGCTCTCTGCTGTAGGGCCCCTGACCACCTGGATGAATGTGGGGGCCCCTGAGCCTGTGCTAACACTGCTGGACACTCGAGCTGGTGGGGAGCCAGGGGCCACTGTTCCCAGGCCTGGGCCTGTCACACCCCAAGGCGTATGTGGCTGGGGTCCCGAAGAGCCTTTGAGACTCAGTGTTTTACGCCAGTCTCAGTGTGCAGGTAGAAATGCCTGTGGGCTCACCTGGGCCGGCGAGCTTCCCACAGACATCTCCCGTTCCTAAACCAGCGTGCACCTGGCCCGGCCTTGTGGCCCTTCCCAGGGCTGCAAGAACCCCCTCAAGAAACGTCAGGAATTTTGAAAATGTGCAGGTTTATTACTCACAGGACGTGGAAATGAAATGTCACAGCACCCCTGGGCCATGCAGCGAGGTCGCGGGCAGAGAGAGAGAGTGCATAGGCCAGGGGTGCTGCTTTTATTGGGGTCCGTGGTGGGGGCTCGCTCTTTAATGGTGAATTTAAAACATAGGAGCGGGAATTTAAAACGCAGGAAGCAGGCTTGAGGGGAACCCAAGTGGCCCAAATGGTCAGTCATTAAAATCAACCACGATCTCCAGAGCAAAGGGGCTTTGGTGGGGGAGGGGTGGGCTCTCTGGCCCTGGGGCTGGCCGCATGTATATTTGAGACACCCATCTTTGAAGTGGATGCCTCTGCACTCAAAGCTTAAGTCAGGCACTTGCATTAGCACCCCCCCCCCCCCCAAAAAAAAACGGGGCTTACATGATAACCAGCGTTTCCCAGGCTGAGGGACAGGGGTCCAGGAGAGTGGTTGTCTGTTTTCTCCTTTTTTGCAGCTCTGGTCTGTTTTCTGCAGGGTCCCCTGCTTCCAGGGAGGGGGAGATTTTGGGTGATGCTGGGAGGACAGCTCACCCGGAGGTCACAGGTTAAGAACCTGGGCAGCAGGTAGCACACTCCAGACTGCGGGGAGGATAGCCCAGCCAGGCCCGGTCTCCAGGCCCCCCGCCCAGCTCTGTGGGCACTGCCCCTTGGGCAGACCCCAGCACCCCCAGCCCCGGCCCACTCTGCCTCCTGCAGCTGAGATGTGAACCTTCCTGTTGGGCTTGGAGTTGGATGGCCCCACCTCCATCACTGCCCCCATGGCCACTGTCAGGTCACTGAGCCTGCTCTGCGAGACCCCAGGCCAGAGAGGGGGGCCAGCAGGCTGTAGCCCCGGGGGGGAGTACTCGGGGCCCAGTGGGACCCCCCACTCTAAATTCTGCTCAGTATCAAGGTCAGCATTCCCCTGGGCCCTCCGGGCGGTTGGCGTGGGAGCAGAATTTGGGGAATCCCTCGGGCGCAGGAGGGCGTGAGTGGCCTCTGCAGCCCTGGCCCTCCCCCCGCTGACCTCACCCAGTGGGCCTGCGGGAGAATGAGCCCAGTGTGTCCCGTGCGGGGCAGTGCCAAGCAGTCCCCAACAAAGGAGCCTTTGGGGTGCCTGGCGCTGGAATGCCAGCCTGTGGCAGGGGTGAGGGGACAGGCCACTGCAGTGGCCTCAGCCCCAGCCACACTGTATTCCCTGAGCGCCGGTCCAGCTCCAGGCCCCGCAGTCCCCAGCCTGACTCGTCCCTGTGGCTTGGGCACAGCCTTCCCAGATCCATCCAGAAAGATGCCTGGATGAGACTTGCAGGTCCATGGCTCCCCTGGGCGGCGCCCTGATCCTGATGGCAGCCCCCAGCTGTGGCCCTAGCTCTGGGGGGCTTAGGGTGGCTCCCCAGAACAGGTCAAGCGGGGAGCCCCTCAAGGGGCCCATTGAGGGAAAATGGGGCGGTGGCCTAGGCTGAGCTGAGGTCCCTGACCCCCCGCCATGTTACAGTGCAGCTGCTCAAGGCCACAGACCTCGGCCGGCACAGCCTCCTGTACCTTGAGGAGATTGGCCACGGCTGGTTCGGGAAGGTGAGTTGCTGACCTTGGGGTGGGGGAGGGGCCGGCGTCGTGGGCTCCTCTTTTCCCTGGGAGGTGGAGGGGGCAGGTACGGACCTGCTTCTCCTGGGAGCTGCCCCAGCACTGGGGACCCCTCTCCTGCTGGGCCCCTTCCTGGGGCGCTCAGGGTCTGCAGCCTTCTCAGCTGTCCTGAAAGCAGAGGCTGAGAGGGGCTTCCAAGAGGGTTGGGGGCAGGGCACAGGGAGCGGCCTCTTGTGCCTGGCTTCTCCCTGGCCCCCAGCCTGCGTGCCTCCCTCTTCCTCACTGCGGACCCCCAGAGAGTGCTGAGAGCAGCAAAAGGCAATGTTACAACCCGGAGGGTTCACCGGGGAGGGGTCCGGAACGCATTTTGCAGATGAGTAAGGCACCGAGAGAGCAGCACCTTATCCAGGGCGGGCGGTGACGTGTGCCCCTGCAGGTGTTCCTGGGGGAGGTGAGCTCGGGCATCCTCAGCACTCAGGTGGTGGTGAAGGAACTGAAGGCCAGTGCCAGCGTGCACGAGCAGGTGCAGTTCCTGGAGGAGGCGCAGCCCTACAGGTGGGTGGCACCCGGGGTAGGTAGGTGCGGCTGGAGGAGGTGGGCGACGGGCCGAGCTGGGAGGTGGGGGCCGCGCTGGGCACTGGGCTCTGTAATCCAAGGCAAGGTCTGTGCCACCCCCCCTCCTCCCAGACCCCCCCACCCCTCCTGCCCGTGTGTGAGTCAGGGGGCAGCCTGTTGGCTCCCACAGGGCCCTCCAGCATGGCAACCTGCTCCAGTGCCTGGCCCAGTGCGCAGAGGTGACGCCCTACCTGCTGGTGATGGAGTTCTGCCCCATGGTGAGTCGCACCCCCCTGGCTCTCCAGCCTGTCTGCCCCGAGCTTCTATCCAGGACAGGGGCTGGGGCCCAGCCTCCCTGCAGAGAGCACTTGGCTGAGCTGGGGACCGCTTGCCCCATGCTGTGGGTCTCCCGTTCCCCCCTAAAGTGGGATGGGGGCCCTGCCTGTCATCTCCCAGAGGCAGCTGGGCCTGAAACTGCCCCCAGGGCCCTGCCCGCACACACAGCTCCTGCACTGAGCTGAGCCACCTTCCCGCACGAAGGCGCCTTCCGCAGACATGGGTCCCTGAAGCCCGCTGGGCCCGCTGTCTGCTTTCTGGACTCCTGGCCATAGCACTGACCTTGGGGCTTCCCCAGGACGGCTGGGCCCTCCCTGGAGCTAGGCGATGTCAGCAGGTCAGGGAGTCACCCCCGACCTTCTGGTCACCCTGGGTTCTGTTCTGGCTTGGTGTCACTTTTGTGTGGCCTGTGTGCTGGCCGTCAGCTAGGTTCCAGTGGTCTGTACAATGGATGTGTCCCTACTGGCCCCTCTGGGCTGCCTGGGTCTGCAGGGGCGGTTTGGACTGGTCGTTCTGCAGAGAGACAGCCCCTGGGGGTGGGCGCCTGTTGGCAGGACCCCAGGTCGCCCCAGCAGGCCCTGTGTGGGGAGCGGGGAGGGACCTGGCCGAGGGCTTGCGCGCCCACTCCTCACCGGCAGGTGACGGTGCTGCCCCTCTTGGCAGGGGGACCTCAAGGGCTACCTCCGGAGCTGCCGGGTGGCAGAGTCCATGGCGCCTGACCCTCTCACCCTGCAGCGCATGGCTTGCGAGGTGGCCTGCGGCGTTTTACACCTGCATCGCAACAACAACTACGTACACAGGTGAGGGCAGGGGCGGGGCCGGAAGCCCTGGGTCTCTGGGCTCTCTGCGGGGGGGCTTGTCGTCATTCAGCCTCTAGGGGCTACTGCAAAGGGATTAAACAGAAAACACGGGCAGGTGGGGGTGGACAGCTGTTCTGCAGGACGGTTAAGTGAAGTGACACGCACTGTCCAGCTGGCCTGGGCAGGCACACACGGCCTGAGGCCTGTCCTCTGTCCCAGGCCTGGTCAGCGCCACCTGGTGGTCAGCGCCACCTGGTGGCACCCTGCCAGCCCCTGCTCTCCCGTCTTCCTCCGGCCCTGGGGGGGAAGAACCGCTCTGTCCTGCCTCCCACCGGAAGTCGAAAAGATGGGCCAGGGTGCCCAGTGTAGGGGGACGTGCCAGAAGAAGTGGCGATGGACGTGGCCCCGCCAGCCCCGGATGCCGCACGGGCCGTCCTCCCCAACAATATCCTGGTGCTGAGTGATGACACCTGCAACTCCAGCATCAGTGATTTTGTTGAAGAGGGCAGCTGCCAGCCTCCTGACCTGCCGGCCGGGCCCCCCCCCGCCCCAAATGCCCACACGCTCCGCACGCGCAGGCCCGTCTGTGGCCTCTGCGTAGGAGCACTATAGCAGATGTGGGCTGACCCCATGATTGCCCCAGGGCCCTACGCCCAGACACCCAGCAGGCAGGCAGGGGAGAAGCCGGCAGCCAAGGCTGGCCGCCGGGGTGGAGGTGGGGTGGAGGTAACCACACTGCTGGAGACGGGCACTGTACACCCCACCTCACCCTAGGACCCCGTGTGGGCAGGGCAGGAACCCCTGGACATTCGGGACCTCCTGGGGAGCTGAGGTGATGGTACAGTGAGGAGAAAAGACTGCAATGTCCCTGGGCTGGCTGGTCCCCGAGGGATGAGTCAGCAGGCTGGTGTCCAAGCAGAAGTGGGGAGTGGGCTGGCGTCAGGGGAGGGGGTTCCAGTGACTGCTGGGCCACACTTTTGCCGAGGGTCTCTAGGCACGTTCTACATCTCTCTGGGCCTCATTTTCCTCATCTATGTTGTAGTGTTTGAGGCCCAGCCACGTGGTGCCCAGTCCTCCAAAGTGCCCAGTGCTGGGCAAGGGGCCCGGGCTCTAAACGGGGAGGGTGGGCAGCCTCTTCAACGTCCCTTCTTGCCCACCCACCAAGCCGAGCCCAAGATGGTCCTGGCAACAAGTGGTTCAGCCCCCTCAGTGGCCTGGACACCCCAGCACAGCTGGCTGACCATCCCTCTGCCCTCCAGTGACCTGGCCCTGAGGAACTGCCTGCTCACAGCTGACCTGACTGTGAAGATCGGCGACTACGGCCTGTCTCACGGCAAATACAGGGTAAGTGGGCCAGGCTGGGCAGGGCCGGAGAGGCAGGGCGGGCCGCCTGGGCCCTGGCGGTGACGCGGTCTCACGTGCCCACAGGAGGACTACTTCGTGACCGCTGACCAGCTGTGGGTGCCACTGCGCTGGATTGCGCCCGAGCTAGTGGACGAGGTACATTGCAACCTGCTGGTGGTGGACCAGACCAAGGCCAGCAACGTGTGGTGAGTGTGGGTCCTGTATGGTGCCACCTGAGGTCTCGGGCCCGAGAGCCCACAACTCTACCCCACCTGCTGCTGTCAGACCTCACGCTGCCCTGCCCTGAGTGAGTGTCCAGTGAGCACACAGGGCCTGCAGGCCCACCGGGCACCAGGGGACTGAGTCCCACCGACCCACCTGTTTTCCTGTTGAGGGGATGCAGGCTGGCTGCTCAAAGAAAGGCCGTGTGTGAGGACACGCTTGTCTGTCCAACCTCATGGCTCTGTTGGAGATGGCCAAACAGTCCCCAAGTGAGGTTACAGGGGTGCTGGGGTCACCTGTAGCTGCCGGGGCCAGCGGCCCACAGCAGCTGGGTTGGCGGGGTCTGTGGAGGACCCACTGGGCCAGCGCCCACAGACATCATGGTGAGAGCGTGCATCCAGGTTGGAGAGCCCTGTGGGAGTGACAGTAGGCTGGACTGAGAGTGGGGGCCTCACGACGCACCTGTTCCCATGCAGAGGGGCTGGTGGGGCCTGGGGATCTCCGCTGACCACAGCCTAGAGGCACCAAGCCAGCCGCAGTGTGGGCACTCAGACCCAGAACGGCAGCCCCTGGAAGGTCTGGGCCCTAGCTAGCATGAGAATTGAAGGCATGGACTTGCACAGGCTGGGAGGGACGTCTCCGCCATGATAGTCTGGTCCCTGGCCTTGACCAGCCTCTGCTTACCCCTCATGCCTCCTCCCAGCCCCCCAGGCCTTGGTCTGGCGTCCCCTCTAGTCCTGTGAACCCTCAGAGTTTGGATCCATGGACCAGCCCCCCTTCCTGAGCTTACCCCGGGACCTCCCCTGAGCCCCTGAACCATGCTCCCATAGTGGAAACCATCCCCTCTCTGATCCTCGGCTGTCCATCCAGCTGACCCTCCCCTGCCTGCCCACCTTCCTTACGCTGACTGGGGTCCCCTAGATGGTTCTGGCCAAGGCCATCGTGACGTCTCCATTGTCAAATCTGCTCTGTCCCTCACACCCCGAACCTTCTGGGACAGCCCAGGGTCCCAAGGAGCTGGGTGAAGCTGTCACCCACTAGAAGGAACCCTGCATGCTCTGGACGCCCCTGCCTGGTCTCCTGGCTCGCCCATACTGGCCTGAGATGTCCCTAGACTCACCCCTCCCTCAGTCTTGGCACCAGTCCCTCCTTCCAGCCTCCACTGTGACTGGCAGGTCCGGGAGCTTCTGCCAGGGCAGCTTCTATACCTGGTAGTGTCTGGTCTTCACCATGGCAAGAGAATGAATGAACACACGAACGGACTTGGGTTCGTGTAAAGGCAGTTTGGCTTTTATTTGCCTAGGCACTCTGGGCATGGGCTTGGGCCTGGCTGGGTGGCACGTCCTGCCCGCTTACTGAAGGAAAGTGCCTTTGGGAGGGACGTCCCTGAGAAGCTGGTGTGATGCCAGGAGCTGCCCCTTGTCCCGTGCTCCGAGGTCCTGTGCAGCCGCGCCATGCCGATCACGCCAGCCTCTTCTGACGGCCGTTGCCCCTGCAGGTCCCTGGGCGTGACCATCTGGGAACTCTTTGAGCTAGGCGCGCAGCCCTACCCCCACCACTCCGACCGGCAAGTGCTGGCCTACGCCGTCCGCGAGCAGCAGCTCAAACTGCCCAAGCCCCAGCTGCAGCTGACCCTGTCTGACCGCTGGTGAGGGCCCCGTGATACCACGCCAAGGTGGGGGTGTCCCCAGCAGGCTGGCTTACACAAAGGGATGCTCTGAGTCCCCAGGACAGAAGCGGCTCCTGACCGCCTGGGTTTCCAGTTCACCCTGGCTCCCTCATGGCCAGCATTGACCTCTGGGTCCCACCCTGTGTCCAAAGGACAATGGCTTCCTTCCCCAAAGCACAAGCTTGCCTGCAGGCAGGGCAGGGTGACTTAAAGGAAAAGTGCTCCTCGCACTACTGGTTCCCAAACTTCTGAGCCCACCTTGGGAGATTTGGGGTCTCCTTTACTTAAGTGGGAGAGTCCTTTAATTGCCCTGGAGGTATCTTCAGTGTGAGGAGGGGACCCCAGACTCTCATGTTGAGCGCAGATGACCTCGCTCCTAAAGGGACTCGGGGTCTGGAGATTGGGCGGTATTGAGCCCACGCCTCCCTCCCGGCAGGTATGAGGTGATGCAGTTCTGCTGGCTTCAGCCTGAGCAGCGGCCCACGGCTGAGGAGGTGCACCTGCTGCTGTCCTACCTGTGCGCCAAGGGCACCACCGAGGCAGAGGAGGAGTTCGAACAGCGCTGGCGCTCGCTGCGGCCCGGCGGGGGTGGCATGGGCCCCGGGCTGGGGGCGGCGGGCCTGGCGCTCGGGGGCGCAGGCGAGCTCGCCGCCGCCTCGTCCTTCCCGCTGCTGGAGCAGTTCGCGGGCGACGGCTTTCACGCCGACGGCGACGACGTGCTGACGGTGACCGAGACGAGCCGCGGCCTCAACTTCGAGTACAAGTGGGAGGCGGGCCGCGGCGCGGAGGCCTTCTCGCCGCCAGGGGGCGCGCCCAGCCCGGGCCACACGGCGCACCTGCAGGCGCTCTGCGCCCCCGACGGCGCGCCCCCGGGCGTGGTGCCGGTGCTCAGCGCGCACAGCCCCTCGGTGGGGAGCGAGTACTTCATCCGCCTGGAGGAGCCCGCGCCCGTCGTGGGCCACGACCCGGACTGCGGCTGCGCCCCCAGTCCCCTTGCCGCAGCCCTGGCCTCCCAGGGCAGCGACCACAATGATAATTCCGACTGCAGCGCGGCCACCTCGCTGGCTATGGAGCCGCTGCTGGGCCGGGCGCCATCCACCCGCAGCCCCTGGGGCCACTGCGACTACTACCCATACAGGAGCGTCACTCAGGGCCCGCCCTGCCTCTCCCGCTCGGCCTCTCCCGCCGCCCTGATGCTGGCGGAGCCCGGCGTGGAGGACACTGATTGGGGCGTGGCCACCTTCTGCCCTCCCTTCTTCGAGGACCCGCTGGGCACATCTCCCTCTGGGACTTCAGGGGCCCAGGGGTCCCTGGGCGAGGAGGAGGAGCCAGGGGAGGCCGAGGCTCGCAGGGCTGCCCACCACAGGAACTGGAGCTCCAACATGTCCGCCAACAACAACAGTGGCAGCCGAGCGCCGGAGTCCTGGGCCCCAGGCTATGCAGGTGGCTATGCAGCCGGCTGCCCTGACAGGAAGCCGACTCTACGGGCTGTCCCTGAGCTGGGCCACCCTCTGGCCCTAGAGGACCCCAGAGAGCCTCTCCTTGGTCCGGAGGGGGCCTCCTTTGGCCAGAAGCCAGGCCTTGGCCTCCCCCATCTGTGTGCTGCTGAGAGCCTAGCACCTGCCACCAGCCTGGTCACATCCCCCTGGACAGAGGCAGCTGTAAGTGGGTTCGACAGCCCCCAGATAGAGCCCAGGCTTGCGGAGGAGCCCGAGGGCTCCGCTGGACCCCAACTGTCCCTTCCATCCATCCCATCCCCATCCCGAGAAGGAGCCCCACTTCCCACTGAGGAGGCCAGCGCCCCCGCCGCCCTGCCTGCCTTGCCCACACCTGCCAGCAGCTGGGCGACTGCCACGGAGCCAGCCCGAGCCCTGGACAGCGGCAGCAGCTCCCTGGAGCTGGAGGCGCCAGGCAGTGAGGACGAGGACACCACGGAGGCCACTTCTGGTGTCTTCACCGACTTGTCCAGTGACGGCCCGCAGGCGGAGAAGCTGGACATGATGCCGGCCTTCCGCTCCCTGCAGAAGCAGGTGGGAACCCCTGACTCCCTGGACTCACTGGACATCCCGTCCTCAGCTAGCGATGGTGGCTGTGAGGTCTTCAGCCCGTCGGCTGCCGGCACCTCTGGAGGGCAGCCCCGAGCCCTGGACAGCGGCTATGACACAGAGAACTACGAGTCCCCTGAGTTTGTGCTCAAGGAGACGCACGAGCCTTGTGAGCCGGAAGTTTTTGGGGAGCTGGCCTCAGAGGGCGAGAGCCCTGGGGCCGAGTCTCGGCTCTCTGCCTCCCTCAGCAGCCTCAGTGAGAAGAACCCCTACCGTGACTCAGCCTACTTCTCGGACCTGGACACGGAGCCCGAGACCCCCGTGGACCCGGAGAAGAGGGGCAGAGGTGTCCCGGCCCCTGGGCCAGAGCCGGATCTGGAGAGCGGGCAGAGCTCGGGGCTGCAGCCTGCACAGTCCTCCTCTGAGTCTGGGGTGTCTGCAGAGGCGCAGAGCCAGGGCCCCAGGGAGGTACCACCACTGCAACTGTGTGAAGTCTCTTCCCTTGAGCCGCGCGCCTGCTCCGCAGGTCCCAGGCCAGAGCCTCTTTGGACCCAAGGCCCAGCCCAGGTGCCTCCAGTGCCCAGCCCCGCGCATTCCAAGATTTTCCTGCTGACCCCGGTCCCACCTAACTCAGAGAGCCACCGCCCTGAGCTGCAGGAGGCCCAGGGACTGCTGTCAGCCCCGCAGGAACGGACAGGGGGCCCGGGCGCCCCCAGAGCCCCACTCTGCCTGGCCCTGCCAGGACTCCCCGCAGCCCCGGAGGGCCGGCAGGAGGAGGACGAGGAGGACAGCGAAGACAGCGACGAGTCGGACGAGGAGCTCCGTTGCTACAGTGTCCAAGAGCCCAGCGAGGAGAGCGAGGAGGAGGCCCCGCCCGTGCCCGTGGTAGTGGCGGAGAGTCAGAGCGCGCGCAACCTGCGCAGCCTGCTCAAGATGCCCAGTCTGCTGTCCGAGGCCTTCTGCGAGGACCTGGAGCGCAAGAAAAAGGCCGTGTCCTTCTTCGATGATGTCACTGTCTACCTCTTCGACCAGGTGAGCGGCCGCCCTGAGCTCTGCCCGCGGGTGAGGGTACCCGGCGGGACTGAACTTGGTGGGAGTGGCCGCTACTAGCGGCCGGAGCCACATGCTGCTCTGACCTTGCAGGAAAGTCCCACCCGGGAGCTTGGGGAGCCCTTCCCGGGCGCCAAGGAGTCGCCCCCTACGCGCCAGGCGGGCAGTCCCAGCTCGCCCAGCGCCCCCTGCCGGCCGCGACGCGCTGCAGGACCCCCCGACGGCTTCGCGGAGGAACAGGGTGAGCTGGGGGCGGGGCGACGTGCAGCGGGCGTGGCCTGTTAGGGGCGTGGCCGGGACGCGACGCTTTCCTGGGTGGGCGGGGCGCCGCACCAGGGCGGTGCCTGAGACGTCACGGGGTGGGCCGGCCCGCGTCAGCGGTCGCGAGTGACCGCGGAGCCGTTTGCAGGCCGAGGGTTCGAGTGGGACGACGGCTTTCCGCTGACGCCGTCCGGGGAGCCCGCCCTGGCCGCCCCCACCGCGCCCTCCAAGGCGGCCGCGCCCGGCCTCTTGTCGCGCTTCTCCGTCTCGCCTGCACCTGCGTCCCGCTTCTCCATCACGCACGTCTCCGACTCGGACGCCGGGTCCGTGGGAGGTGAGGCTGCGGCGGGGCTAGCGGGAGGGTCAAGTCGGGACAAGGGAGTGGGCGACCTGGAGGGGCGCCCGAGGGTGCCCGGGCCCTGTGCCCGTTATTTGTAGTCTTCCGCGCCAGTAGTTTCCAGACGGGGAAACTGAGGCTGGGAGAAGGCGGGTCGCGCCAGGCCTGTCGTGGCCACCTTGGCTAAGGCCTTTCCTCCCTGTCTTCTGGGCTGAGACGCGACGCTGCCTGGCCCTCGGGCCTCACCCTCTTCTCGCCCCTCCAGAGGCCCCGGCTGCACGCCCTTCACCCTGCTCTCCGCCTGACCTTAATTAACCTCCCCGACCTTGCCAGCCCCTGCCGCTCCGCCTCAGCCACTGTCCCCACCCTCCCACCCCTGCTGGCTCAGGACCCTCGCACGTCTCAGATCTGATGGCCCTTGCCCAGTGGCACCAGGGGTGGCGGCTCAGGTGCCTGGTGGGGCCCTACTCAAGGGCCTCACTGAGCTCACCCCTCCCTCCATGCTGCACACCTGTCGGCCTCAGATCAGGCTGGTGGTTCCCCACCTCCCCAGTTCTTCTGAGCCTGCTGGGCTTCCCTGAGAGCCCACCCAGAGGCCTCCTGGTCATCTCGTCCTCCAGGCAGACCCAGCGCCTCCCCTGCTACCCTTGGTCTGTCCCTGGCACAGTGTGTCCTGAATGGACATCTTAATAAGCGAGACAGTCTCCAGGAGGCAAGTGCGTAACTCTGGACAGCTGGGTCCGGTCAGGCCTCCCCTTCCCCCACCTGTGAGAGGAGGGCTCGGAGGGCACGCTGAGCTTTGTTGGGCTGAGGACAGACCCTGGCCTGGGCATGGGTGCTGGTGATGCAGTGGGAAGAGAGGTGGGCCTTGCATCCAAGACATACCAGCAGAGCTGCTGCAGCCCTGGCCCGTCAGTGGCTCTAGGCCAGGTGGGAGTCCTGGGGGAGGGGGCTCTGGCAATCCCCGGCATCTCCCCGAACACTCATGTGGCACCTCCTGTTTGCCAGGCCCGGCAGGAGGTGCTGGGGGCAGCTGTAAAGAAGCTTGAGGCCCAGGTGGCCCCCCTCTGGAGCCCCTGCCCGTCCTGCCCCAGGCAGCAGCAAGGATGGTAACCAAGAGCGAACGGGGACTGCGGTCCTCGCGGTGGTCGGCAGCAGCCTCCAGCACCTCAATGCCCCACGCAGCACCCTGGACAGGAGCAGCCGTGCACGCCAGCCCGGTGCTGCCCTGGGAGCAGGATTCCTCCTGGACACTCGGGTCTGCTGCTGGACCCTAGGGATGCCCTTTGCCCCAGACCCGGTGGCATCTCACCATGCAGCTGCTCCCTCTGCCCTGGCCACTGCTGTCAGACTGCTTGGCCTCTGTCTGAGGCCAGGGGACCTGGTCACGTGGCATGGGGAGGCTGCCACGCCCTGCCCACTGGCTCCCGTGTTGCATTGCAGGATGCTGTGTCCCCACAGCGGGTGAGAGAGTGGGCACAGGCCCGCTGGGACGGCCTCTCCCTGCCCCCTTGGCCCCTTCCGCCTTGTTCTGGGTTTGCTCAGAGCAAGAGGACCCCAGGCTTGGGGGCCCCACCACCCTTACCTCAAAGTCTGTGGCTGTATCTCCCTTCACTGACTCAGACCTATAAGCTTTCCCTCCCCATGGGGTCTGGGGTGGCTTCTGCCTGGGTTCCGCTGCTGGAGCCAAGGTGGGCAGCATGAAATATGGGGGGCTTTCAGGCTACACCCTTGCTGGCAGTCATGGCCCCGTTCTAGAGGTGCCCGCTGCTGGCTGGCGTGGGCAGCATCCCTCTGCAGGGCGCTGCCCAGCCTGGCCCAGCTGTCAAAGGGTAGTGGGGGGCCGCCCCCATGGTCAGTATCAGGGCTCCTGCCTGCAGGGAAGGGGCCTCGGGAAGGGGTGGAGCGGGGAGGGGGTGGGGGCAGGGAGCAGCACAGGGGATATTTTTGTAACCGCTATTGTCAGAGCAAATGGAAATGGGATGATCTTAAGTTACTGTTGCCAAAGAGATGTAAGTTTATTGTTGCTTTGGGAGTGTGGGTGGGGACTCGTTTGGGTTTGTGTTTTTGTTTCTTATTAGTTTGAGGCTTAGGATGCTGGTGCAATGATTTTCTTGTTCCTTGTTTTTTTTTAAGAGAAATCAAGCTAAGACAAAAAAGCCTTCACGCCAAGCGTGTGTGTGTTTTATTTTGGTTTTTTTTTGGGGGGGTGGTTGCAGCTAGAGCTTTGGTCATGAGGGGGCATGGCCATGCTGGGGTGGAGACCCAGCTGCCAGCTCTGTCTGGGGGCACAGTCCCTCCTGACGGTGGGGCAGAGGGTGGAGGCTGCAGGAGGCAGGCTGACCCTTTCTCCACTGTCCCTAGAACATTTTGGTGACAGGACAGTGACCTGGGTCATCATGTGCCCAGGTGGGGTCTGCCTTGGAGCAGAGGGGAAGTGGACACCTGCAGCCCCCTCTTCCTGCCCTGCGCTCTGGCCCAGGTGAGGGCGAGGAGGGCCCATGGAGCTCTCCAAACCCTCCTGACTGCCTTCAGGAGGCCAAGACTGCCCCTCAGCACCAGGGGACGCTGGTGAGCTGGGGGGCCTGTGTGCCCACCTGGACCCCCCGGCCCTGCCCTCTGCTTCCTGTCCTGGGGTGTGGGCAGGCTGCAGGCAGCTCAGGGCCCCAGAACCCCTCCTTAGAGGGCCTGGGAGCAGTGAGCTCTGCCTGGAGCTTCTCACCAGGGGAGGACTGCTGTCACCGACGCTGGTCACCGTGGCTGTATTTCAGCCACAAATGGCAAATAGCGTGGATCCAATAATGAAGTGTCTAAAATCGGTATTTCAGCTGAAATATGGAAGTAGCTGGGGTGGGGCCCACCTAGGAATCCTGCAGCAGGAACCCTTCCCCCAACAGTGGCACACAGCACCTACCACCCACCTGGCCCAGGACAGGAAGGAGAGCTGGGGGCCCCAGCAGCCGGTTCTGGATGGGAGTTGGGGCTTGAGCAGGGAGGAACTGGGATGGAGAGGCCCCCCAAACTGCTAGCAGGAGTGGGGAGGCCCTGCAGACCCCCGGCCGAGGGCCTGCCAGGGAGTTAACTGTTCTTCATAAATTCATTTTCTTCCAAAGAAGGATGGCAGGCCCTCCCCTCCCGGGCCCCAGGCCTCCTGCCTGAAGGCCGACAGATCACAGCTGGGCATAGGTGGGGCAGTCTCTTTATTGACCAGACACTTAGGAGCTACAAGTAGCGTGGGAGCTAGGCTCCCCTTCCAGCCACACGCTGACAGAACGTCCTCCTGCGCCCGCTAGGCTCCATAGCCCCCTGGCCCAGCCAGCGGGTCCCAGCTCTGGCCAGCCCCCTTGTGCTCTCCTCGGCCATGGCCCCAAGGTGCCTTGTCCACAGGAACGGCCAGGGTCCAGCCCAGGCCAGACTGAAGTGGGGGCAACATCAGCAGGTGCAGTGCACGCGAGGAGAACGTCCTCTAAAGGGGGCTGTGCAGACGGTAACACAAGAGCTTACATGTGGAGTGGGGAGGAGGGGCCGGGCGGGCAGTGGGTGCCGACGTGGCTGTCAGCTGAGGAGGGGGGCAGACCTGTCATTGGTCACTGTTGGCTTCAGCTGGACGCTGGTGAAGGGGTTCCTGAGGAGAAAAGATAACAGTTTTAGTGCAGGAGGGGTGCCCTGTGCGCGCTGTGCCACCAGGCCTGCAGATGGCGCCATCCAGGACCCGGATGGCCCAGCCTCTGGGCTCAGCTCAGGCGGGCAATAGAAGCTGCTGGAAGGGCCTCGGAGGGGCAGCACCTGCAGGGCCAGCTGACCCCCAGTGGCCACTTCCTGCCACCCCCTCCTAGAACTGTCAACCCTCCCAGGCAACGTGGCCGGGGGCAGGGGCTGGGAGCCAGCTCTTTCTCAGTCCTCAGTGGGCTGAGTCCGAGTCTGGGGAGCCGCCCACAAGGCCACGTGGCCCAGGTGCCGTCCTCGCGGGAGCAGTAGCTGAGCCCGTCTGCAAGGACATGCCTGTTGACACACAGGGACAGCTCAGCAGCCCACACAACCCGGCCCATGCGTCCCGGAGGGTGGCCTGGGCCCGCGCCACGCTGACACGACAGACACAAGGCCGCGCACACTGACAGCAACAGGCTGGCAGGGGTGATGCCCTTGGGCCCCTGCAGAGGGGCTGCCTCCTGCCCGGTGAGGGCTCAGCCACCCGTCACCCCAGGGAGCCACACCCTCCCCTATATGCCCACGGCCGCAGCTGACGGACAGACGGATGGGCCAGACAGGAGCTGAGATGGGACGAGATGAGCACGAGGGGCCAGCGCCTGGCCTGGTCCTCGCAGAAGCCTGTTCTCCGAGTCCCTGCCGGGTGGGGACGCACAGGACGACAAGCTGGGGGACGCCAGGCAGCCCCAGGGGTGACAGCACGGATGATACGTGGGACACAGAGGGCTCGGCACGGACAGGACCACACTCCTGGCGAAGCGCTCGGCTCTGGGGCCGTTACCTGGGCAGGAGGCGCCTCTGGCACCGCTGGGCCGGCGTCCACGGTAGCTGGGTGGGCGGGCGCTCCATCCAGTGTGCCCAGGAGGAGAGCACATGGGCTGGGGGCACCGCCCTGTGCTTTCCCGAGGACTTGGTGTTTTCTAAAACACTGAGACACTTCGGCTGAGTTTTTAAAAGGAAGACCTACTGGAGGAAGCCGACCTTCAAGGCTCCTCCAGGGCGCCACGGCCCCCGATGAAAGGCTGCTTCCAGCCCCGCGTGGGGCCTCAGGCTCTGCTCGCTCACGGCCTCTCTTTGGCACTGATCTGTGCAGATGAGCTTCAGCCGGGTCTACTGGAGTGACCAGTGACGTCTGCCTCTGTGCCCTGGCTGTGCCCTGGCAGTGGTTCTAGAGGAGGGCTCTGTGCCCTCGCTGTCCCCAGCGGGAGGTCCTGGGCTCTGGGAATGGGGCAGGTTTGTCCACCTAAAGTCAGGGACCAAGCAGAGGAAGGGGTGCAGACCCTGCGCCCCCGAGAAGGGAGGATAGGTCCTGTGCTGAGCACAGCCAGGGCAGAGTGGCCGGTTTGGGCCGCACACACCGTACTCCTGCCTGACACACCCGAATTCTCATCAGAAAGGGTCACTGGTAAAAGGCACTGTCAGCTGGGCCGCAGAGGGAGTTGCAGGGCCAGAAAGGCCCCGCCCAGCGGCCGTGGGGGGCGTCTAGCCACTGACCCACTCTCCTCTCCTCCTCCAAATGGGGGCCCTGGAGTACACTACTCCACACTGCAGGTTCTGCGGGAGCGGGCAGCTGCCGCAAACGCTCCAGGCCTCTGGAGCCACTGCTGCCCGCAGCCCCTGGAAGCCCAGGCCAGAGACCGCAGTGGGCAGGACACTCCCCTGCTCAGCCTCTCAGGTAGCTATACCTTCTGGAACGTTCTTTCTTCTGTGAAAGAACAGGCTTATGAGCTACCCTGGAGAGGACGCCTGTGTGACCCCAGGTGGGGGCTGGGGCCAACACTGAGATGACAAAACAGGACAAGACTGGGACCCGAGGCCCGCCGCACCTTCTCCCGACCTGCAGACATCGACTGCTGCCGGGCCGGCGCCAGGCCAGGCTCCCTGCCAGCAGCACTGTCGGCGGACGATTGACGACAAACCAACAGACAAGACAAGCTTGTCCGGTGCCAGCACAGAGTGGAGCCCAGATCAGGGTGCCTTCAAGTTGGGTGCTGTGCAGGCTCTTCCCTCTGGTGGGGGCTCTGAGGGCACAGCTCTGTCCCTCATGGGAGCCACCCCGTCAGGGACGCCTGAGGAGGGAGGGGAGTGACGGGCGGTGGTTTCACACAGAGAATGGATTTCCACTTACGGCGCAGAGCAGGCCTACGGTCCCCAGCGGGGCTAAGGAGGCACGAGCTGGACCCTCCCCCACCGGGAGGACGGTGGGCACAGACTTCCAGGGCACTGCAGAGCTCCGTGGGCAGCCCTCAGGGCCACCATGCAGCACGGGGGGCCCGTGCCCCCACCAACCCCTGCAGTCAGGCAGCTTTCAATTCCGGTCTCCTGAAACGCACGTGGCTGCAGGTGTGAGGGGACCCTGTGACTACTCTCTGCATCCACTACGTGAACGACGAACAGTTCTGAGAACAGCCGTGTCCGTACGTGCGGCTTCCTTCTCTCGCTGAGTCCAGAGCACAGAGGGAGCCAAAGGGTGACTGGCGCAGAGGTGTCCACTTTCTCCCGAAGTTGCTTCTTCTCAAACTTAAGTGTTTCTTCCACAGCTTCAGAACGTCGGCCCTTCTGGAATGGAGTCATTCTCGTCCTCAGCCCCCCTTCCCAGCATAAGCTCGGGCAAAGCTGGGCAGGGCCCCTTAACCAGCCAGAAGTGTCTTTTGAACCTTCGGGCCAGGTGACTGTGGCGAGGGACTGGCTGCTGGCACGTGCTGCGCGCTCCTGGGGTGAGGTACCCTCTGCGCCCAGGTCTGCCCTACACCAAGCGGTATGGTCCCTGAGCCTTGGGTCCTTCCGGCACCTCCAGTGATGAGGACAGCTCGGAGGGACCGCAGGGGCAGCACAGGTGGGGCCTGCACAGCTCTGGTGGGAGATGCAGGCCCCTCAGAGAGGAGCCCAGAGGCAGGAGGGGTGTGGCCCAGGGTTGGCCACTGCTGAGCCAGGGTCAAAGGCATGTCTACCCTGTGCCCAAACTTCAGGAGCATTTGTCTCCAGGACTTTCCAGAACTCACAGTGCAGCTCACAACACAAAGGCAGTGACAGAAAAGCGAGCACCCAGATCTGCTGGGGTGGCCTGGCTGCCTGCAGGGAGGGTGGCATCTCTGTGATGCCCAGTAGACTGAAGTGATTGTCATCCTTTGTAAAGGATGCACAGGGTAACCTGTGATTAGGTGGGGTGGGGACACATGGCAGCAGTGCTGGGCCCCCTCATCTCCTCCTGGCTGCCAGAGCTTGCTTTCCAAGGGCGGGAAGGGACCGTCACCAGGAGGGATTCAGAGGCTGGCAAGGACACCTGGGCATGGCGGCCGAGGGCCTGGTCTGGAGAGTCTGGCACAGACTCGGAGCCACACCGGGGCAGAGGCCAGGTGAGCCAGGCAGAGCTGGCAGCCAGGCTGCTGCATCCACTGTCCCGAGCACCGGGGTGCCTACAGCACTCACCTGGCACAGCCGTGGAGCTGTCCCCAGGTCCCACCCTGGTTTCCCCAGTCCCCTTGGGGCTGCCATCCAGGAGCGGGCCAGGCCGGGCTCAGACCCATACACACGGGGGCCGGTCCGCAGGCACCTCAGCCAGAGGAGCTGATCACTGGTTCCACCCTGATTGTGGCTGAAGCGCCCAGCAGAGGCAGGACAGAAACCCGGAGGGAGGGCCAGGCCAGACCCACGCCCAGCAGTGGAGGGCAGGGGGCCGCGGGTGGCGGCGAGCAGAGTGGCGGGTCAGCCCCACAAGCTTCCCGAGAAAGGAAATCCGTGAGCCCCAGGAGTGATCCAGGGGAAGCGAAGGCTGGGAGCCCCGAGCGGAGCAGGCTGGCCGACCCTCGGGCCCCACCTTGCCTGCAGGGCTGGGGCCAGAGGGTCTCCAGAGCCGCTGCAAACGCAGACTGACCAGCACAAGCAAACCGGGCACTTACTAACTCTAGACGGGGCAGCTCAAAATCTGGCCACTTCCACATCGGTGCTGCAAGGAAACACAAGGGCTGTTGGTGCAGGTGTGGGTGGCAGTGGGGTCTGAGGACCGAGGGGACACCAGGGGCTGGAGCTCACTGCCAGGAGCACGGGACGCCAGCCACACGGCAGACAGCGGACTCTCCAGCCCCACCGGCGGGGCCACCGCAGGCGCCCCTCGGAGCGCAGTGTGGGCAGGCGCTGTGTGCATGCCCGGGTACATGCAGGGGCTGGAAGGAGGCGCCACACCCAACTCGATGCAATAAATAAAACTTTTATTCAAACAACTGCAGCACAGGGCACAATTCAGATTTAAAAAAAAAAAAAAAGGAAACAGGAAAAATATCTTCAGCACTTTACATCTTCATACAAGTTTTGCGGTTTTGTGTCTACATTCATCCACTGAGCATGGAATCCCCTGGATTTGAGATCTGTTAGCAAAATGAGACCACCGACGCAGAGGGCTCCTTTTACACAGGTCCATGTTCTGGCTTTGTGTTTTCCTTAAATATAAAACAGGGTCTGTCTGTGTCTTGAGCGCCTTCTCTCACAAGTGCTACCAGCCATGTCCTAGTCCGTGGGCGGGCAGGCGGGCTTTGCTAAATCACATCAGAAAAGGGGCGTCCACAGCTTCCGGGGGCTGCACCCCCACTCAGTTCCCAGATTCAGGGTGTGAAGAGGCAATACCAGTAACCACTGAGTCCAGCATGTCTCTTTCTGAAGTCACCAAGACACACAAAAAGACGACAGCGTTTAGAGGGACGGGAGGCGTGTGGGCGGAGTGCCGACACCGCCCTCCCTGGGGCTGGCCACACCCTTGCCCTGAGCAGCTGGGCGGCCTGGACTCCCTCACAGGCTGGTTCAAGGGCCGATTTCCAGAATGTGGGGAGCAGGGGTTCTCTGGAGGTCTTTGGAATGTCCGTGTGCGGCCGGCAGCGGCTGCTCCTGACCCCTCCCCTCCAGTGCACTGTGTGAGGTCACCACGCCTAAAAATGACGCCTGTGCTCTGGTCTCTGTACACCGTCCAACAGCGTCCACGGAGAAGAAAGCCCTCAGGGGCCCGGCCCGGAGGCACAGGCAGGGCTGGGGCCGTGGCCTCCCTCACAGGAGCGGCCAGCTTCCTCAGGAGGCCCTGAGCAGGCTGCGGCCCTCGGACAGGTGCCCATGGGGCCGTGAGCCTCTTGGAGGCCCCAGTACCTCCCCTTTCCTGGCACAGATGCCAGCGTGCGCCAGGGGAAGTCAGATGCAGAAAAAACAGTACGTACACCGGAGTCCATGCATATCTGTTTTTGTTTCCAGGAAAAAAAATGTCCTTTTCCTGTTTTTCAGCTTTTTGGTTTTTTTTTTTTTTTTTTTTAAAGATTTTTCTTTTTCTTCAAACTTTAGAGCTGGCTCGCGGTGAGCCTTTGAAAAGGGACAGTGCGTTATGAACGCAGCAGACGGGGAGCAGAGGCGAGGACGCCCACCCGTGCTGTCCGGCTGGCAGGTCCTGCCTGGCGGGACACGTGGGGTGGGGGCGTTTAAACACGGGAGCGTTAATGGGGCAGCACCATGGACCCTGGGGATCACAGAGTCTGGGGTCACCAACCAAAAGGCGGGAGGGGGCAGGTGGGAAAGAAAAATGACCCAAGAACAAACCAGCAAGAGCGCTGAGGAGGAAACCGATGGAGACCAGACAGATGGGGAGGGGAGGGCAGAAGCTCTTCCGAGCAGCAGCTGCCCGTGGTCAGAGTCCTCACACTGTGGACACCAGCGTGCCGCTGCCGCTGTGAAACAAAGCACAGGACAGCTGCCGGGCCGCACGCCTCCCCCACAGCAGCCTGCTCAGCTGGCCACCAGGCCCTGGGGGAGGGGTGACAGGAGAGGCCCTGGAGCTAGGACCAGAGGGCAGAGCCTGGGGGGTGGGCAGCCCCTACCCTTCTGTGCAGGCCTGGACTGGTTCTGGGGAGACGAGCCAGGGGTGAGTGGACCCCCTCTTGGCCGAGAATGCACGAGCCAGGAAGGAGGAGTAGGACTGCTAAGAACTAGGGGGGTGGCTCCTGCAGTGGCCATGGGCTGGGGGAGAACGGGAGCCCCCCGAGCGGCTGGGTAGGCACAGCCAGGCTGGGCTCACGCAGAAGCACCTGCGTCCTCCCACCCACCCATCCACCCACGGAGAGCGCAGACGGCTCTGGGAGGGGCCGCCCCCACTCCTCCCACTCAGCGATGTCCCAGGACGCTGGGCTGTTGACTCCGGACAGGGTACCCTGCCCGAAGGGCCTGCCTTTCAGAGGCCTGGGGAGCTGTAGGGCGGGGGACAGAAAACAGGTATCCAGGCCCCACTCGTTCTGACATGGAGTGGAGACTGCACGGTCTCCAGCCAGGGGTCCACGGAGCAAGCCCGCAGGGCCACCCCAGACCAGCCTTCCAGGGGACCACTCCCTACTGCCCCCCGTTCCCAAGGACAACTCAGAAAGCCCTTACCTGCTCACGGCCCGTGCCCCGTAGTCATCTAGACCCTGGGGAAGAAGGCAGAAAAAGTCAGACTGGGGTCCCAGGGGGTGAGGTGGCCTGCAGGGCAGGCGCTGGCGTGGCAGCCGCCCCTCCCGACCCCAGGGTGTGCAGTGGAGCCTGCTGCCAAGGGCACAGACGGTCCCTCCCCCACAACAGAGGTGACCTGTGACCCCCCAAATTCATGGGGACACCACGTCCCGCAAACATCCAACTGTGGATTGTGTGACCTCACACTCGGCGCACACACGCGTGCTGACCCCATCCACACACGTCACCTGTGACAGGCGGGCAGGGGCCCTGCAAGTGCCCCAGGTGGGCAAGCGCCTGCAGGTCAAGCGGTGGAGCACCTGGACAGGTGAGGGTGGCACTAGCTGGCAGTCTCAGGTCAGGTACAAGGGCCTCCCCAGGAACCCAGGGCCCCAAACCAGTGACATTTGAGGGGAGGGGGCGGTGGATGGGTGGCTGACAGAGGCGGGTGTGGGGAGGGCAGCTACCGTGGATGGCCACCTGCAGACCCGCCTCAAGCAAGCCTGGGCTGGGCTGGCCCCTGGGCAGATCGCCCCTGAGCCCCTGTACCCCAGCTGCAGCTTCCTGGCCCTGGGGACAGTGCCCCTGGCCCAGGAGGGGAACCCGTGGGTGTGGGGCTGTGCTGTGGCTAGCTGCCCCATCTCTGCCCGCCTGGCCTGGCCCCAGGGCCATCAGTGGGTGTTGGGGAACCCTCCTCAGCTCTCTCAGCACCAAAACCAAACCCAGAGACCAGGGAGTGAGAGCAGGGAGCAGTGGTCAGAGCCCTCCAAGCCTGGGCATTTGTGCCATGAGGCCCGGGCAGGGCTGGATGGGACCAGAGCATCTCAATGCCCAGCAGGCTGGCCTGTGACCTTGGGGCCACACCTGCCCAGACTGCATCAGCCGCCCCCTGAAGGTCTCGGCCCGGAGTGACAGCACCCAGCTCCACTCTTGGACCCGTGATTCAGGAGCCCCCGGCTCTCAGGGAGAGGCTCCCGGATACCCGGTCCTCCATGGTGCTCAGGCCCCTCCCGAGGAGCAGCGTCCAGAGCAGCCTGGGTCAGGGACACCCCAGCCCGAGGGAAGGGCAGCAGGGGGGCCGCCGAGCCTTCTTTAGAGTCCTGAGTCTGCAGAGGGCAGTGGTCCAGGAGGTGGCCACAGCAGGGCGTAGGCGAGAGGCCCAACCCTGAGCCCGGCAGCCGCTGGGGACCCAGGCCCCTCCCCCACTCACCTGGGAGAAGGCAGGCACGGCCACGCTGTAGGGCCTCTGCTTGAAGGTGCTGGCCGTCTGGGTGGGGAAGGCTCGGGACGACGTGCCGTAGTCGGGGGGCGGGAGTGCCAGGTCCTCCTTGTCTAGGAGGTTGCCCGTGCTGCTGCTCTTCCCTTGCTGCAGGCTGCGGGACGGGGAACAGGGGACAGTGCTCAGGCCGGGCCAGCCCAGGATCCCGCCTGGCCCCCACCTCTCCTGTGCTTCACTTGGACCCTCAAGGAGGGGGTGACAAGATGCTGCTGTCAGGGGCCTGGGTGGCAGGTGCGCTGACCCTGTGGACCCCTCCCTCAGAACTGGGCACGAAAGTGTGCCAGTTGGGAAGTCCGGAAGGCTTGCTGGGGCTGAGTCCTATGGCGATCCCACCTCCCGGCAGCCACTCAGCCCCTCTGCGGCCCCAGCAGCCAGTCTCCTGCTCTCCTGAAGCCTGGGAGGATCTGGGGGGCTCATGGGAGATGGCTGGGGCCCCCCTCACACACCCTGCCTGCAGGAGATGGCAGCGGGGGGGGGTGCGCCTGGGCCCAGCATGGGGCAAGGAGAGCCCGCACCCCAATGGGCCAGTGAACAGGGCTGCCCCACACAGCGCCCGGTGACCCCCAGGGCTCGCAGACCTCACAAAGCATGTCCACACCCATGAACCTCAGGGCCTCAAACGTGCAGCGTGCTGGGCTGTGGGGGGCAGCTCTGCTGGCGCAGGGAAGGGACTGGAAGCCCAGCCAAGCTCTTGGCAAGAGCGCTTGGGGCTGTTCTGAGGGGAGCCCGTCCACAGCACCCCACTCACCACAGCCCCTCTCCAGAGCTAAGGGCCACCCACTGCAGTCAGCACCCTCACCTCATGTGTAGCCTGTCACTCCCGTCGCTGTCCAGAACTCTGGTGTAGGAGAAGGGGAACCAGCCGCGCCTGGAACAGACGGCCCAGGTGAGAGCGTGCCGGGGCCCCAGTCACACGCTTCCCTGGCCTGGCTGTGTGTGCTTGTGGAGGGGACGTATGTGGGTGCTCCAGGGAAGCCAGGGGACCCCAGCCTGCACCTCAGCTGGACATCCGGCTCTGAGCTGCCCCATCCTGGACGGAGGCTGCCTTCACTGTGAGGCTGGGGACCCAGGCTGAGCTCCAGCTGCTTTGACAGCAGGGCTGGTTTCTGGCCTCGGTCCCGAGTGGCCACATGTGAAGCCAACACCAGAGAAGGTGCCAGGGAGGGAGGCAGGTGTGAACTTGGGAACAGAGGCGTCCCACCAGGGTCCCTGCTCTCTCAGCGTCTCCCAGGGTGGTGGCTGCCTGAGGCCAGAGAGCAGCTTCCTCCTCCCTGGTTAGGGCGGGCAAGTGTCAGAGCCGATTCTGCCCCAGTGGGGTCTCCCATCTCACCAACAGACACACCCAGACGACAGTGGGGGCCGTGGGAGGGTGGAGCCCCTGACGGGCAGCCCCCAGGTCGAGCAAGAACGGGATGTTGACACAGCCTCTCGGCAACAAACTAAGCCGTGAAGGCACAGCCGTGGGACTCAGAGTGACTTCTAGGACCCCAGCTCTGTCCAGGAGAGACACAGGGGAGGCGAAAAGGCTTTGGGGGGGAAGGCTGGCCTCTACGCACTGGAAGCCACGCACTGACAGCAGGAAAAGCACTGGACACTCGGGGCCTGGGGACAAGTTTGGAGACGTGGGGAGTGAGGGACGCCCGAGCTGGGCCGGCCACAGAGGCTGCCGCCGGGGGCGAGAAGCCGTTAGGCGTGTCTGAGCTGCCCAGGTTTTGTATGGTGGAAACATATGACCTCGATAGTCTAAAAACGACCCAGAGCCCCCAGGGGCCCAGGGTCAGGGGGCCAACGTCCCATGTTCCATAAAGGGGCAGGCCGCCCCGCCCTCCCTGCCCCGCCGCCCTGGAAGGCGCTCACATCTTGGTCTTCTCGCTCTCGCCATAGTGCCAGCCATCCCGGGCCTCGGGCACCAGCAGGGTGATGAGGTCGCCCTCCTTGAAGCTCAGCAGGGTGCTGTTGTCACCAGCCGCATGGGAGAAAATGGCCTTCACCCGCGTGCGACCGTTGCGCTCCAGGCCGGCCGCCATGGAGCTGGAGCGCGGCAGCGTCTTGTTCTCAGCTGGGGACAGGGCAGGTGTGAGGGGCGCCCCGCCCCATGCAGGAGCGAGGTGCAGTCACCCTCCCGTCCCTCCGCGGCCCAAGGGGAAGACACTAGAAGCCCCAAGCAGGCCTGGAGGTGGACCGTCCATCCTGGTGGACACTTGCCACGCCTCCAGGGCTGTGTGAGCTTTGATTCTGGAAGGACCTGGGTGCTGAGGGCCTGGAGCTCATCCTGTGGGCGGAGCCGCAGCTCCCTCCCCTACTAATCAGGAGACGCTCGGCCGGGCTCCTGGCAGTGGGGGCAGGAGTGAGCAGTGTCCCAGGGGCCCCAGGGGGCAGGAGCTGTCCCATTGTCAACTAACGCCCCCCCCAGCACCCCCACCTGCTTCTGAGCACGGCTCCACTCCTTGCCAGATGTTAACGGGGAGCCCCATGAAGCCCAAGGGTCCAGGATGAAGTCCCAAAGGGGTCCCCAGGGTGCTGCACACGCACGTGTACATGCGTGAGCCTCGGAGCCCCCGACCTCCCCTCAGGGGTGTCTCTGCTACTTGCGGCGGGTCTGGGGCCCCAGCCCAGCCCCCAGGGGAGCCCTTACTGGTGGCGTAGCTGTTTTTCGGGGCCACACTCTTGCGCACGGGGAGCGTGTTGGAGTAGGAGTCGCTCAGCTTGGTCTGAGGCTGCGGAGGAGACGAGGACTTGGGCTGGGCCACCTTGCGGTCAGCCCAGGGGCTGTAGTCCTCGCTGTCCGGGCCCGAGATGCCATTCATGATGGGCGCATTGTCCTGAGCAGACAGCCGCTGTGGAGAAGGAGCGGCAAGGGCGCGGGGTTGCAGGAGGGCCCAGCCCAGCGAGGCCAGCGTGGAGAGCTCCTTGTCCCCAGCAGGGGCGCCCTGCCAAGGGGGGCAGTCCCCCCACACCCATAATGCTTTCCGGAGGCCGAGGACTCACCCCCACAAACGGGGCCAGCTCGGGCGGCACCGGCAGGGGCTTGGCCCCCGGAATGGGGTCTGAGATGACCAGGCTGGACTTGGAGGCCGACAGGGCGCCGTTGCTGCTGACCATCTGCTGTACCAGCTGCGCTGCGCGGTCCGCGATCTTGCCGGGGTCGGCGCAGGCCTGTTGCCACAGTGGCAGCTTCTGTGCCAGCAGCTCCTTGCCCTGAAGCAGAGAGAATGGGGCAGCGTGGGGGTCAGGGCCAAGCGTAGCTGGGTGCATCCCGGGACCCCTCCCTGGAGGGCCTGCTGCTGACCTCATGGCCACAGCCCCCGATTGCCGCTGGGCACCAGGAGGCTCCTGGCACGACATCCCCGCCCCAGGAGGGGCGCACCTGGCTGGGGCAGAGGGCGGCTCTTCACCGGCAGTGCCTCCTCGCCACGTGAGCCACACCTGTGGGCCCCCGACCCCCAACCTAGGAAAGGGGCTGGTCTGCGCCAGTGAGCGGCGCAGGCGAGGGACCAGCAGGCATGAGATCACAGCAAGGCCTGGCCCGCCGGGGGCCTCCCCAGGGCCCGAGGAAGAAGACATGAACGGGGCTCCCTCAGTTAGCTACGGAAGGGCCAGACCTTCCACGGACAAACCTCAGTTATCAGGAAGAGCCGGGGCAGGGAGACCACGCGGAAAGGCCAGCCTCAGTCAGGCCAGGCTGGCTGGTTGGGGCGGGGGCTCCTGCGTGGGGCAACTACGGGATGTCGGGCAAACAGCCTTCTGAGCAGGCCGTGGCCCCGCTACCAGCAGCTGGCTTAGACCAGGGGCCAGCACACCACGCCCCGGGGCTGGCCGCCAGCTTTGTAAGGTTTGACTGAACCCACTTCTGTTCACTTACACATCACCTGTGGCAGCTTCCACAGGCTACGGCCAGAACCGAAAATCTTTACTATCTGGCTCCTGGTTGACATAAATGGTTGATGGGTCTGGGGTGGTGGTGACATGGGCCAGCAAGGACCCAGTACCAGAGGGGACAAACCCAGGATCAGGGCACTGGCCCTGAGTGGCTTCAGGTCTGAGGTGACGAGTAAAGCCCAGGGCTCCTGAGGGAAATGAAGCTCCGTTGCTGTAGGGTGCAAATCCAGAGACGTGCCAGGTGGGCTGCTGGGCACAGGCGGGAGGCCCTGGTGCCCGAGGCCAGGCGCCTGTCCTCTCTAAGCCCGCCGTGGGGGCGTTCCCTGGGAAGTCAGCTGTCACCTCTCTAAAATGGCAGTGCCCCAGAGGACAATGGCTTTCCTGCCTGCCACACAAATGGGCCCTGGCCCACTACAGGGCTCGGCTGCCACCAGAGGGCGCACACGCCCGCCTCAGCCTGCCTGGGGCCACGTGGGCGGCAGCGACCTCTGCTCTGATCCGCTCTGAACACCGTGGCCGGCACAGCCCACTCCCACATCCCGGCTGCCACGAGCCCTCCCAACTCCCACAGGGGAAGGAGGTCCCGCCACCGTCCTTGCTTCACACCTGGGCCGGCAAGAGCCTCTCCATGGAGGGAGGGCAACCATCTCCTTGGTCGCCGGGCCGTGGGGACCAGAAGCCAAGTTGTGAGTGTGTGTGAGTGTGAGTGTGTGTGTTCCTGCTGACCCTTTATGGAAAAAGGACAGGAACCAGGGCCTCCCTCATCAGCTTGGCTGCCTGACCACACCTTTCAAGCTCAGAATGTTCTGGAATGTTCCAGCTCCTGCCTGTGGACTACGGGTCTCACTGGCCCAGGAGTTAAGCTGGCCTCTACATGGGGTTCCTGGCTCTGCAGCCCCTCAGAAGGGCTCGCCGTTAGGCTGTCAGTGTAACTATTCTCAGAAAAGCACCTGGCGATTTCTACCGGGAGTCTTAGAAACGTCTGCAGCCTCTGACCTGGTAATTCTCCTTCTAGGACTCTCTCTCCCCTGGGAAATCGAAATGCATGGGGATGTTCTGCACCGTGTGACTTTCATCACAGCTCGCGGCCCGCCCTGATGTTCCCCGGGAGCCAGCCCCTGCCTGCCAGCGAGGCCCAACGCGGGCGAGCGGCTCACCTTGGAGTGGTAGGCGGCCGAGTGCTTGGCCACGGCACACTGCTTCTCCACCAGGAAGCAGAACCTCCTTCTCTCCTCGGTGAGCGCTGTCTTGTAGCCATCGGACACGTGGCTCTCCAGCTCTCCCTGCTTGCTGCTGATTGCGTCGATGTACTGGGGATGGGAGAGGGTGGGCACAGGTGGGACGGTGAAGGATGCTGCCCCATCGCATCCGTTCTGGGCAGCCCCACCGGTGCGTCAAGCACCGCGTTCTTGCAGAGTGGCGACTGCAAACGGGTGGCGTTCTGGGACCACTCACAGCACAGCCGCCTCTCATGCCTTCGGCTGCCCGCAGGTCCTGCCTCCAGCAGGAGGGCCAGGGCAGGCCGTCTGCAGGGGGGTCAGGCTCATCTCCGTGGGGCTCTTCCCAAAAGCAGGGTGTTGCGTGCCCAGGCAGGTGTCAGGCCAGCCCCCCTAAGGCCACGGCCCAAGAGCGTCAATGCCGAGGGCCCCCGCTTCTCCGTCCTCCTGCCTCGCTGGCATTCCCTTGGCCCACAGATGTGGATGTTTCCAGAACCTCTATGTCTCCGCTCAGATGGGAGCCATGGGAAAATCAGACGGGACATGGGAGGCCCTGCCTTCTACTGCCTGAGGAGAGCCCTGCTAGAGGGAAGGCCCAGGGCTTCTCTCAGCTCATTCTCACCTAGGTCCCAGATCTGGGGGGCGGGGTGGGGGGGGCGCAGAGACAGGTAAGACCCCTTGGTGGCTGTTCTCCAGACAGCCACAGGCTGAGGTCACAGCCTGGGCAGTGAGTTCATGGAGAGGATACACAGTCACCCCGGGAGCAGGGAGCCCAGCACCTGAGGGTGGGCTGCTGGGGCCACGCCAGCTCACACTCCTGGGATGAGGGAGAGTTGGGGAGAAGGGGCTGCACGGAGACAGGACTTCAAAGTGACCAGGGCCCCCGACCTTCCCACTCGCAGCTACCTGGGTGCCCTCCCAGTGCTGCCTCGGGAGCGGCTGAGAACCGGCAGAGACAAACAAGGCGACCTCACCAAGGCAGGCTCCGAGCCACCCTTGGCCCCGGGGAAGGTGGTGCGCACCTCTCTCCATTCCCACCGCCCACCTCCAGGTCTCCCGACGGGGCCACTCTGTCGCCCCAAGACCCACGTCTGTCAGGTCCAGCCATTCTCACCCATAAAGGATTCTGGCAAGCGCCCCAAATGAAAACCACCTCAACCTGACCAGCCTCCACATCCAACTACCACTTTCCAGAAATGCCAGGTCCCAGGGACGCATTCAAGGTGGCCCAAGGCTAGAGGGGACAGGAGGCGGGAGGGTGGGCAGGGCTGGGGCGGACGAGTGTGAGGCGGTGTCCCGTGGGGCCAGGGTGTCAGTGCGGGGTGATGAAGTTCTCGAGTCGGATGGAGGTGATGGCTGCACAGCAATGCGGATGTACTCAATGCCCCTCAACTGAAAAATGGTAAAACTGGCAAATTTCATGTTGAATACGTAAACAAAATTAAGAGTCATTAAAAAGCAGAATCAACCAACCCTGACACTGAAGGCCACTGGACAGAGGACCGAGCACCTTGACAGATGAGCAGCAGGGAGGAAAAGGGAGGGGAAGTTTGGATGAAAAGCGCCGGAGCGGCCAGCTGCAGGGGAACGCTGCTCTCCACAGCAGTCACTGCTGGCCCCGCCCTCCCAGCCTGCCCATTGGTGCAGGGCTCGGCCATGTGACTGGCTTTGGCCAATGGAATCCTAGAAGTTCGGCAGGGCCGCCCCGCGCCAGCCGCGCCTCTGGCCCTGGAAGCACACGTTCCCTGCCCCGGTGCCCCCTCTGAACCGTGAGAGCTGCACACACGGCAACCACGCTGGCGGCTACTTGGTGAGATCTGGTGGCAACGCGTGGCGGTGTGACCCCGCCTGGGGATCCCGGTTCCAGCCGTGTAAAACCACCCTGCCGGTGGCAGCAGCAAGCACTGGGTGTTCCAGGATGACTCACCCCCAAACCTGAGGGGGCGGGCACAGAGCGCATGCGACACCGCTCGATGCCGGGCACACGGGAATGTTCTGATTTTGCCAGTGAAACTTTCTGTAATAAAGTGCAGGGAAGACCGGAGGCGGCTGTCATGGGGGGACGGGGGGCAGGAGCCCAGATGCACACCCATGGGGTCTGCAGAGCCCCCTGGGTGCGTCTGTGTGCGGGGCCTGTGGGATCCTGGCTGCAGCTCCCTTCCCACCCTCCCCACACCCCGAGCACACTGTCTGTGTGGGGTGCAGACTGTCTACGTGGGCTGCTAGGACCGCTGTCCGGGAGTGGCTTTTCCAGAATCAGTTCTTCCCTGGAGCAGCCCTGATCTCCGCAGGGGCAAGCCCAGGCCTCAAGGGGCAGCCTCCCCGCCTGACTCACAGGCCCCCCCCCACCCCAGCTCTTACTCAGCATGTGTGGGCGGTGCCAAGCCCGGATGGGTGACTGGAGGGGGAGCAAACAGCAGGCTGTTCCTGCCACCTCCCCTCGCAGCAGCACTCAGCTGGAGGGGCGAGGAGCGGCCCCAGTGCTGTCACCAGTGCACAGCTCTGCCAGCACGAGGGAGTCACAGCACCCCCAGGAAGGACCTGCCCAGCCCCAGCACCAGAACTTGGGTCCCCGCACCCTCTGCCCCTGCAGACCACCCACCTCCCCACAAATCCCCTGTAGAACTTCACCTCCTACTGCCTGGGGGGGCAGCCTAAATGGGTCTCAAAATAACTATCCCACCCCCAGACCAAGGCCCCAGCCTCGGGACCGGGATGGCACTTGGAGAGCGACCCTGGCTAGCCCGGGAGAAAGGGCAAGAGGCCTCCTGGGCAGGCTGTCCTAAGGCCCGCCTCCTCCCCGCCCCCGCCCCC